CTTTAGCTAGAAGTTTATAAGCATTGGGGTCGAAGCCATTAGTGCGCTTAATGGGCAACATTTCATCTATTCCATCCCGAGCATCGTTATCTTTGGTTTCTCCTCCAAGCGGTTTGGCTGGGGGAGCTTTCAATGGTTCAATTCTTGTAAGCGGGAAAACAAGTTCCTTATTGCAATGAGCTTGGTCTATGACTTGTTTGCCTTTCCACTTTGGATCGTGAGGTGTGTCAACATTGATTTTGTCAATCTCTTCAACAATAACTTGTTTATTCAAGTAAAATTTTGCGTCTGCAAAGTACGACTCTGCTTTGGTGAATGGACTTTCATCAGTGACTACCTTTTCTATCACACAGCCTTTTTCAAACATGAGGCACTGGTGCCATGATGAGGGGACTACTCCGTTCTCATGTACCCAAAGTCGGCAACAAATTGTAAGACGTCCTTGCATCTATCACATAACATAGTGTACTTGAGTTCAACGTTCCGACCCTGAGATCGAGTCTTATGGTACCTAGTGCCCTTTGCCCACCTTGATTAAAACCTTGAATCATCAGGCGGCTTTGAGAGAGCTCGTCGATAGAGATGCCAAGTTCTTTCATAGCTCGGAGTGACAGAATGTTCACAGCCGATCCTTGATCAATCAAAATCCTTTTGATTCCTTGCTCGCGGGCATAACCTTCTACAAACAATGGACGATTATATGGTGTATCGCCGAGCAATAGATCCTCATCTTTGAAAGTTATCTCTGTAGTGTAAGACGCGACTTTGCGAGTGTAGACCTCGTTGCTTCCTTCAATCAAGGGGAATGAAGATTCTCCCACTTCAACATGTTCTTCATTGGTATTCAAGCAAGTTCCAATAATGTCTCTTCTACTCAGGCGAAACCCCTTTGGCATGTATTGAGCTAGGGTAACTGGTGCCCGTGGCTTGTAGGGAAGTCCTTTCTTCTTCGAGTCATGGACGGGGTCCCTTGCTGACTTCTTCTCAACCCATTGCTTTATCATTTTCTTTAATGGTCTAATATGACTAGCAGGATTGACTTGTGATGGTTTTAAGTATTGCACGTCGGCATGCTTTACTCTAAATGAAAGTGTGCATTTATGTTGCTTGCCCCCATTATTCTCCCCGTCTTTTATAAGTAATGGAGAAAACCTTCCACATGAGATTTGGTTTGTGCTTGCGTTAGCATCCACAAGCTCTATCTTTCCGTCACGAGCAAGCCCCATCACTTTATCCTTAAAGACGAAGCATTTTTCAATCGGGTGTCCGAGGAGGCGATGATACTTGCAATAGTTGAGGTCATCTACCCTAGAAGCTTCTTCGGGGTGCTTCATCTCAGGCAACTCAATTAATTTGAGTTTCAGCAACTCGTCAAACATAGGAGAAACGTCAGAATCCAAGAATGGATATTGTTTCTCCTGCCACTCTTCAACAATTGTTTTTCTAGCTCCTCTTGATGAGCCGGGGAATTATCTCAGCTTGGGCTTCTCATCCACTTTGGTGAAAACCCGCATTGGTCCTGTCATCACGTTCATCGTCTCTTTCTTCTCTTGCTTTGGAAAGAACTTACTCCATTTGTTGACATCTTGGTTTGTAGGTGCCTTTGATGAGCTGGGCATACTTGACATGCTTAGTCCCCCATTGGCTTCAATACTCAATTACATGTCATGAGCACGACTGGATAGTTCTTCAAATGTCCTGGGCTTGATTCCCTGCAAGATGTAAGAGAGCTCAAAGTGCATGCCTTGGATACACATTTCAATTGCGGAGCTTTGGGATATCATCTCTTTACAGTTGAGACACAACTCCCTCCATCTCTCGATGAAGGCGCCCGCACGTTCACCCTTCCATTGGCGAGTGGTGGTGAGTTCCAAGAAGCTAACAGTACTTCTTGTGCTGTAGAAGCGGGTCAAGAACTCGCGCTCCATAGCATTCCAGCTGTCAATGCAACCATGCTCCAGGTTGGTGTACCAATCAAAGGCAGTGTCTTTCAGAGAGCAGACGAATTGCTTGACAAGGAGATCTACGTATGTTCCTGCATCATTACAGATATCAATGAAGTGGGCGATGTGCTGCCTTTTCCATCAAACTACTGGAGCTTGGGAGGTTGATAGCCCAGCGGCATCTTCATTTCTTCAATCCTCTGAGTATAGGGCTTGGTGTAAGTGTATGAAGATTGTCCTCCCTCGAGCTTCCCTTTAATTGCTCCCATGATGTAGTCATTCAACTGCTCTATAGGTATCATGCCCTCAGAAATTGGAATACTCTTCTCAGCGGGTGGTGGACGAGAGATTGTCTCTTCCATTCTTGGCCTACTTTGATGACGCGGTGACTCGACATCAATCTCATCTCCTTGGGTTTGAGGCTGCTTCCCGGAAGCTCGACTTGTTTCGCCGTTTCTTCCGCTTTCAACTTTTTTGCTGAGCTCATTGATCCTCATTTCTTGGTAATGCATGAACGTAGTTATCCCCTCAAGAGCTTTGGTGATGTTTGCTAGTTGTTCCTCCACCGAAGCTGATTTTGTTGTTACAGCGGGCATGATTGTGTAGATGGGATTCCATTCCGGTGAGGTTCTGCGCCGAAGTGATGACTGTGATGAGCTTCCACTGCTTGGGATTCTATTTGAGGGAGTATGGCTCGTAGGACTCTTGTGGCTTGGAGTCCTTCGCTTATAGGATTCTTGTTGCTGGGGGCTCTTTTGCTTGTAGGATTCTTGTCGCCAACAGCTTCCATTGTAGTGGATGAGCCCTTGTCTCGTGTAGCTCTTCGTGACATGGTGGAGCTTCTATCAATCCTTCGAACAATGTGGCGAGTGATATCCTGGGCCCCGTGCAGCTGCACTCCTAGGTTCCTCACTCGGCTCTGAGTCATTGCTCCTTCCACGTTTTGGCTGTCACCGGAACCGGCCACGGATGATGCCTTGGAGCGGGTAGCTTGAGCGTAGGTCATCTTGGAGGAGGGATTTCTTGATGCCATTTGGATTCCTTCCTTATAGAGCTCGTGAATCAACAGTGAAGAGATGAGAGGCAGAGTGGTCCCACTGGGCGTGCCAAAATCTGTAAACACAAAAAAGTAAACTTTGTATATATTTCACAAAATTCCTTGTACAGTGTGTGTATAATTCAATATGCAGGTACACAATCTCTGTCTAGTCCTCTGATTCTTCACTGACGTTATCTATTGAAGTGCCTGCGGGATTCAAATAGCGTAGCCTCCAGGATTCAATTGGCGCGTGCCTCCAAGATTCAAGTGGCATAACTTTCGGGATTTAATTGGCGTGACTTTCAACAACGAATGTCAAGAATTTAGAAATAATCAACCCTGCAAAGTTTCAAAACACATGCAATGGATTCAAAGTTATATGTATAATAACTATTGTTACTAATTATATCTAGGAAGAAGATGAAGGATACTTGTGACAAAAAAGGTAACTAACCAACATAATCTAAACTTGTATTCACTGCACACAAAGAACTTCCTCATTTTGAGAAGTTGCTCCTACACTCAGGAACGGAGCCAGAAATTCGGTTGAGAGGGGCAAAAAAGTACAGACGAATTCAGAAAATTTTTCCAGTAAAAAAGGCGAAACATTAAAACAAAAGAGATAATTTAAAAATAAATAAATAAATAAATAAATTACCTAAGAAATATAGTTGTAAATATTGTTGGATATGGACGAAAAATAAAACACCTCGAAACTTTATAAAAATATTCATAACAAAATATGAAATATAATTAATTTGATAAAATAATCTGAATAGAAAACACATTATAAGTTACACATATCATTATTAATATAAAAGAATGTTATGTGTGTGTGTGTTTGACTTTTACTATTATTAAACATGTGCTCTACCAACTAATCTAACTCACTTCTTGTTGACATTTAGTAATTTTTTTATACTAATACTAAAACATGTATTATATATACATATATACATACAAAGACTATATATGGCGTGAGGGTGGGGTGATGGCGATAGCTGCCCCTGCCCCCTCTATGGCTCCGTCCCAGCCTACATTGCTTTTGATGAGGCTTGATCTTATGTCTTTTGTGATAATTTTACTTCTGTAATTAATTAAACTGTCCATGTAGACAAGACAAAGGATACCTAATTCATGCCGGGACGAGGGAACGTTAGGATTTACAGAATTTTCTTATCATTTTTCATAAAAGTAATATTAAAAAAGAAAAAAAAATGGAACGGTAGAGTCAGTGGGTTACATTTTGTATAGTCAACGCAAGGTCAAATTTGCTCTCCACGCTGCAACTATATAAATATAAATGAGTTAATACCCAAAATGGTCCCTCACCTATGCCATAATTACCAATTTGGTCCTCAACTACCATTCTTACCCAATTAAGTCCTCAACTATGTAACTTTTACTCAATTAAGTCTTCAACTATACAATTCTTACCCAATTTAGTCCTCAACTATACAATTCTTCCCAATTTAGTCCTCTGTATTAATTTGGCTGTTTGTTGACTGTCAAAAGTCGGGATAAAATTATAATTTTACAAGATTTCTCCTTCCTCTCTATTTAGCAGCGCCAAACCATGCAGCAATACACTCCGATCAGATTTCGATCGTCAAAAAATTGTTGGAAATCAAATTCATGGGCTATCCAATGCACAACCACTACTTCGATACTGACAGGTTTAGAACCCAACCGGAGCTTATTGCTACATGGTTTGGCACTGCTAAATGCGAAGGAAGGAGAAAACTTGTAAAATTACAACTTTATTTCCACTTTTGACAGTCAACAAACAGTCAAATTGACAAAGGACTAAATTGGGTAAAAATTGTATAGTTGAGGACTTAATTGGGTTAGAATGATAGTCGATGACCAAATTGGTAATTACGACATAGTCGAGGGACTATTTTGAGTATTAACTCAATATAAATTCATTATTTAGTTATGCGGTTATGCCGGTATCATTCTATTACCGCACGTGTCTGCCGATATTTCGATAGCCACTTTTTAGCGCCTTTTTTTTTTTTCCTAATAAAAACTGTTTATGAAAAGACTTGTATGCTCTTCTTCACTAACTGCAGTTCTTCAAGCAATACACTTCAAAATCCATCGTATGTGATTTCATCTCGCGAATTCAATAACTTCTTCTATTGAATTTCATCGGTTCTTGTTTAGAGTGTTCATATTTGCCGATATTATAATTTTTTTTTGTTCTGTTTCTCAGAGGTGACCAATGGCGAGCAAGAAGAGCAAGAAGAACACGAAGCACATGCCTGCTGGTGAAAGCCTCGCCAGAGTCGTAGATGAAACTCGTCAGCGTCTACTTGGTTTGATTCTAAAGATGATGAACGATGTGAGTGAAGCGTACGGAGATCCCGAGCGACACCAGCAAACACGTCGCGAATGTGCTTCAGCCATAGGTATATCTCCGCTTCTTTTTCTAGTTTTCTCTGTATACGATTGAATCCGAAATTTATTATTTCCGCGACACCTGCATTCAATTTCTTGATTAATTCTCTTAAAAGTTTCTCTGTGAGCAGATGCAATTTTATATCATCGGTGTGTAGGTTTAGCGTATAATTGTGCGAATTCATGTTTTCTCTGCGATGGATTCAAGTTCGAGTTGTGAATGCATGTGTTTGATCCACATCTAATGATCTTCCATTGTTCAATACTTTCCAAGTTTTCAAAATCTTGTTGAAATGACAGATTAATTTTAGTTTAATTAATTCCATTAGTCACTTCACTCGCTTGAATCGGGTTGTTTTAATTGCAGAAGCATATGCAAAGTATGCTGAGGCCAAGACTGGTTATCAGTATAATTTTAATTTGCAATCTAAATATTCATCTGATGATACCTGTGTTGACGAATCAACGGCGGCTGCCTTAGTAGTGGATACCTGTGTTGAAGAATCAACGGCGGCTGCCTTAGGTATATCTCCGCTCCTTTTTCTAGTTTCTGTGTATACAATTGAATCGCAATTTATTATTTTGGTGACACCTGCATTCAATTTCTTGATTAATTCTCTTAAAAGTTTTATATCATCGGTGTTTAGGTTTAGCGTATATATGTGTTGTTGTGAGAATTCATCTTTTTCTCTTCGATGGATTCAAGTTTGAGTGTGAATGCATGTGTTTGATCCAAAATTTTGTTGAAATGATAGATTAATTTCAGTTTAATTCCATTAGTCACTTGAATCGTGTTGTTTTAATTGCAGAAGCATGTCAAGAGTATTCTGAGGCCATTAGTACTGGTGATCAGTATATGCGTAATTTGCAATCCAAATATTCATCTGAGACAGTAGTGGATACCTTTGTTGAAGAACCAACGGTGGCTGCCGAGTCCAGTGATCCTAAAGCTTTTGCAAACTTATATGAAGAGTTTGTTGATAAACTGAACGATATGGCTGGGTTGCTTCCTGTGAGTAAGGCAAAAGATGTTAATGTGAAAGTGAAAGAGAAAGAGAAGACTACTGTGATTAAGTCTGGTTCTGATGCAAAAGGAGAAAAGGTAGGTGCCTTCAAAAATTTAGTTGGGCTTGAAGAACAGTTATTGAAGATGAGATTTCAAAGTCTTCACCAAAACAACAGATATATATCTTCAACATTCCAATATAAATGTAAGTACTAAACTTGGCACTCACAAAATATTCTGTAAATTCTAAAACAAGCATTGCCATATCCGCGTAGCTTACTGTTCTATCATTGATAGTTATATATGGATTGAGTTACCTAAACAAGCATTGCCATATGTCATATGTGCATATTACTTACTGTCTAGTCATGATTCTCTACGTGTCTAATTGTCTACATTCTTAATTTTTATTTGGAGTTAATTTCATTTTTGTCAAATATTTATAGGTGGCAGTCCAGTACCTTTTTAATACAAAGTACATTGATTCGTTATATTTTTTATATTTATCTTTTTGAAAAAATTCATAATTGTAAATTGAAAAATGCTTGTATTTAATGGAATTTAAATTGCTTTATTTGTAGAAGATAAAAAATGATTATGTCACAATAATACTAGGACCAAAGGATGATATTTTGAAAAAAAAAAATGATTAAAAGTGGTCTGTCACCTATAAATTTAATTAACTCTTTTTATTTGTATTTAATGAATGTAATTTTTACATGAAATTGATCAGCTAGCCCAATAAGACCGACAAGCTTTAGGATTAAAGACTAAAAAAATTTAGTTTGATAAGTCCAAAATTAATAAACTCGATAACATGAAAGAGCTTGTTCGATAGCGCAAGCCAGTTAAGAGTATCTTTTATTTTATAAGTGTTGTCAAACAATATATGCATGCAGTTTATATAGAAGCTGCCCATCCTTTTTTTTTTTTTATTTGTAAACAAAATTGTAATGAACTTATTACAAAATAAAATATATTTTATGAAAATAAATATTAAAAATAAAACTTATTATAATTATTATATTATAGTATAAATATATAAATTATTTTTCATTGGAATTTGGAAATGAAATTTTAGGTTAATTGAATTGTGCAAATATTTATATTTATTAGTGTAAATTCACTATTCTTTTTTTGAAAGCTCTAATTTATTATTATTGAAAGTTTATAATATTAATTTGAAAATGTTAAAAGTTTATAATATCCGATGAGTTTGATAAATCAAGATTTTAAGATTAAAGTCAATAATATTAAATCTGGCAAATAAAATTAGTAAACTCAAAGGGATAAATAAGACAACTCACAACTCGATATGAGTACTAGCTCGAAATCAAATAGTCAGGCTCGGCTGACATCATGTTTGTGTTGGTAATTGATTTGAATGGGGAAAATGGGTACTTGTGGTATCACTGTTGTCGTGTCTCACATTTAACTGGCCAAATATTACCAACTTTATTAAGTGACGAACCTGTATATGTTGAAAAATAGTGAAAAAACCTGTATATTACCGATGCCAAGTTTTTACGATTATTTAAAAACTTATTAAAGTACTAGTTTTACATGCGTATTGAGCAAATAAGTTAATGCCCAATGTTTATAATTAAATAAATATTTATAAGTATATCAATGCAAGATAAGTTTATACATAAGTAATTTAATGTCGAATATGTAACTCATAATATATGAATACAATGTAATATATGAGATTCATTATAATTGTTACTAAACTTTTTTTAAATAGTAATCAAGTATTTTTGTTCTAAAGATAAGGGTTCTAATATATTTAATGAATGCACATATATACAAGATTAATGAATGAATCAAATGTAACAGTCTTTTATGTGTTTTTGCTTAGTGTTCATTTAGTTCAACCATTATATATATATATATATATATATATATATATATATATATATATATATATATATATATAAACTTAGGGGCATTTGTGTAATATTCAAATTTAATTAATTAATTAATAATAATAATAATAATGCAATATACACACCAATGATTTTGTCTTAATTAATTCATCCAATTAAGTTGTTACCAAAAGTATATCCTTTTTTACCAATTCAATCAAAATATTAACCAATATATATATATTATATCATCACTATCAATCTCTTTAGACCAATATCATCTTCTTCATGGCTTTTAAACTCTTTTCAAGTCTCTTCTTTTTGTTGGTGGTTGCTTCATTTATGTCCATCTATATATCTTTTATAGCTTTCACCCATAAAATATTTTACTATAGGTATATTATATACCGACATTAAATTAATTTCTCTGGTAAAATCAAATCTTCAATTTCACAATGATATATTTTAAGAGTTTACATTAAAAATAAGAGAAAACATATATGCTTATTAGATGCGTGAAAACACTAATATGAATATTAATTAATTGATAAAAAAATTAATAAAGCTTAATTGGTAACAAATTTTATATGAAAATTAACTAATATCTAATAAATTTTTATCACAAATTAAAGTTAATATGTACTTAAAAATGAAAAATAGTTATCAAATTTTGAGAATTATTAAACTATTATAATTGTGAGAATAACATAAACAAATTCTGCGTAATAAATGAGAAAATCCATCTGAAATTCTATGTAATTTTATAAAGAAATAAAATGGAATAATGTTCAAATTAGCCACTGAATTAACGTAACTTGAAAATGCAATTAAGTCACTGAACGAAAAAAAAAAAAAAAAAAAGTACAATTAGGCTACTGAACACTCTAAAGACGTGCAATTAGGCCACTGAACACTCCAAATGTATGCAATTTCACCGGATAGCAGGTTACCATCAATTTTAGCTGGTTATCTACTTACGTGAGAGCTAAGTTGGCATTTTAAATAATTTTTAATAAATTTTAAAAATTGAAATAAATAATAAAAAATCAAACAATGAGGTGGCCCGTCGTTTTTTTTTTATTTATTAAAAATTACAACTCAGCTGCCACGTAAGCAAGTAACCTGCTAAAATTGATAGTAACCTGCTATCAGGTGAAATTGCATACATTTGAAGTGCTCAGTGGCCTAATTGCACGTTTTTGGAGTGTTCAATGGACTAGTTGTACCTTTTTTTTTTTTTTTTTTCGTTCAGTGGCCTATTTACATTTTCAGGTTACGTTCAGTGGCCAATTTGAACCTTATTTCAATAATAATTTATTAATTATTATTTACACCAATCTATATTTATACTATTAATAAAAGTAAAATCTTCAATTAAAATGTCTTTCACCCTTCTGATACGAGATTGCCCTTCAAGTTATAACGAAAATAATTCACGTTGATGCTTGCATATGCCATGACTATCAACAAAAGTCAGGGTCAAACACTAACTCACGTTGAGTTATTACTGGGAAAAACCAGTCTTTAATCACGGTTGATTGTATGCAACTTTTTCCTGAGTCACCCATCCTGATGGTCAGATGGTTTTAACTCTAGACGAGGATGGATAAAATTTCGTTACTACTACCAATGTCGTCTACAAAGAGATTTTCAATAATGTATATAATTCAAGTCATTGATATTATGTTTTTCTATATACAAAGATGACAAAATTGCTATATGTCTACATAGAAAATATATCTTCCGTATAAATAATTTCTATAACTAAGTTGCTAGACAACGAGCTAATTAGCCCAATTAATAGAAATTCTTAACACTGATATATAAAATCTCTAAAGTTGCAGCACCGAATGCGTATATCTACACGTTAACTATTAATTGGGCAATTATTTACACGAATTCAAACATTGATAACATCAGAAAACATAATCGGTGCAACTCAATTCTCCAACTATATTATATAATATTCAATGTTATAATTTATACAATTGTATATCGATCTAAATATTTTTAAAATACTATAACAAATTCATTCCGTGCAACGCACGGGCGCAAATACTAGTTGTTTAATAAATTATTATGAATAAAGAAATTCCTAATTTAAGGAATTTAGAGGTATGTAGTAAAATTAAAATTAATTTTTTTTAATTATAATGTAACCCAAAGATATTGGACAATTGGTAAATATGATGTAACCCAAAGATCAAAATGCTAAAGAAAGTGTTTGGTTATTCAACAGTTTGAAGCAACAATTTGTTCCAAACCACTAAAAATACGAACATTACAATTTATAATATTTTCACTTAGCATTTTTGAGGATGATTTACTCAAAACACCTCTATATTTTTTTTTTAAAAAAAAGTACTGTAGAGTCATTTCGACTCCTTGAATAACAAGAGCCATTTTTTGTTGGCTCACTGCTTGTCCATCAACGAATGGGCAAACTTAATTTTTAAATTGGAGCCTTAAGGCTCCTTTTATAGGAGCTTCAAGGCTCTCATACCCTTTTCTCACCCATGTGGAAAAAGTGGAAAAATAAGGTGAGCCGAACGTTCAATTCCCTATATGTTTAATTTTTATTTTTTTAATTTTATTTCTTTTATTGAATTATTATTTTTTAATTGTTTTTTAAAACAATTATTATTATTATTATTATTATTATTATTATTATTAATTATTATTATTATTATTATCATTATTATTAAATATATGTATACCCCCATTTTACATGTTAATCTAAACAGTTAATTTTTTCAAATATCTTTTTACCAACCGTTGATATAATTCGCTGGTCAAATTCGCTAATGAACGCACATTGCTCGAATGAGTTAATGCCCAATGTTTATAATTAAAAAAATATTTGAAAGTATATCAATGCAAGATTATATATATATGAGAAGTTCATACATATGTAATTTAATGTCGAATTTTGTTTATTTAAATATGTAACTCATAGTATATGAATACAATGTAATATATGAGATTCATTATAATTGTTACTAAACTTTTTTTAAATATTAACCAAGTCTCTTTGTTGCAGAAGGTTCTAATATATATAATGAATGCACATATATACAAGATCAATTAATGAATCAACGGTACCAATCCTTTAGATGTTTTGCTCAGTGTTTATTTAGTTCAACCATTATTGTTGAATAAATTATTATAGATAAAGAAATAGGAAAATGACACTTTTTCCCCCTAAGTTATATACTTATAGCATTTTTTCCCTCAATTATTTATGTAAGCACATTAGCCCCCTCAATTATTTTAAAAGTAGTGGTTTTTCCCCCAAATATATTAAATTGACATTTATACCCTTAAAGTAAACATTTTATTATTATTATTATTATTATTATTA